AGGAGTGGGGCATGCACTGGAGCCCTTAAAACACGCCAGTTTGACAGCAAGGCAGCGGAGGGGGTCGGCGGGGGTGGGAAGGGCGGGGGGAGCGGGGGCAGCGGGGGGGGCGGGGGGGGCGGGGGCAGCGAAGGGAGGGCTCGGGCATGCACTGGAGCCCTTGAAAACACTCCATTCTAACAGCAAGGGGTGGGCAGGAGTGGGGCATGCGCTGGAGCCCTTAAAACACGCCAGTCTGACAGCAAGGCAGCGGAGGGGGTCGGCGGGGGTGGGAAGGGCGGGGGGAGCGGGGGGAGCGGGGGGGGCGGGGGGGGCGGGGCAGCGAAGGGAGGGCTCGGGCATGCACTGGAGCCCTTAAAAACACTCCATTCTAACAGCAAGGCAGCGGGAGGGGTGGGCAGGAGTGGGGCATGCACTAAACCCCTTAAAACACGCCAGTCTGACAGCAAGGCAGCGGAGGGGGTCGGCGGGGGTGGGAAGGGCAGGGGCCGGGGGGGGGGCGGGGGCAGCGAAGGGAGGGCTCGGGCATGCACTGGAGCCCAAGGCAGCGGGAGGGGTGGGCAGGAGTGGGGCATGCACTGGAGCCCTTAAAACACGCCAGTCTGACAGCAAGGCAGCTCGGCGGGGGTGGGAAGGGCGGGGGGAGCGGGGGGAGCGGGGGGGGCGGGGGGGGCGGGGGCAGCGAAGGGAGGGCTCGGGCATGCACTTAAGCCCTTAAAAACACTCCATTCTAACAGCAAGGCAGCGGGAGGGGTGGGCAGGAGTGGGGCATGCGCTGGAGCCATTAAACACGCCAGTCTGAAAACACTCCATTCTAACAGCAAGGCAGCGGGAGGGGTGGGCAGGAGTGGGGCATGCACTGGAGCCCTTAAAACACGCCAGTCTGACAGCAGGCAGCGGAGGGGGTCGGCGGGGGTGAGAAGGGCGGGGGAGCGGGGGGAGCGGGGGGGGCGGGGGGGGCGGGGGGGGCGGGGGCAGCGAAGGGAGGGCTCGGGCATGCACTGGAGCCCTTAAAAACACTTCATTCGAACAGCAAGGCAGCGGGAGGGGTGGGCAGGAGTGGGGCATGCACTGGAGCCCAAAACACGCCAGTGTGACAGCAAGGCAGCGGAGGGGGTCGGCGGGGGTGAGCGGGGGAGCGGGGGGGGCGGGGGGGGCGGGGGGGGCGGGGGGGGCGGGGGCAGGGCTTGGGCATGCACTGGAGCCCTTAAAAACACTTCATTCTAACAGCAAGGCAGCGGGAGGGGTGGGCAGGAGTGGGGCATGCACTGGAGCCCTTAAAACACGCCAGTCTGACAGCAAGGCAGCAGAAGGGGCAGCGAAAGGAGGGCTCGGCGGGGGTGGGAAGGGCGGGGGGAGCGGGGGGAGCGGGGGGGGCGGGGGGGCCGGGGGCAGCGAAGGGAGGGCTCGGGCATGCACTGGAGCCCTTAAAAAACACCCTTCTAACCGCAAGGCAGGGGGGGGGTGGGGCAGGAAGTGGGGCACTAAACCCCTTTAACAACGCCAGTCTGACAGCAAGCAGCGGAGGGGGTTCGGAGGGGGGGGGGGGGGAGCCGGGGGGGGCGGGGGGGGCGGGGGGAAGCGAAGGGAGGGATTGGGGCATGCCACTGGAGCCCTTAACAACTCCATTCTAACAGCACGGCAGGGGAGGGGGGGCAGGCGTGGGGCATGCAATGGAATCCTAAAAAAACACGCCAGTTTGGACAGCAAGGCAGAGGGAGGGTCGGCGGGGGTGGGAAGGGCGCGGGGGGAGCCGGGGGGCAGCGGTGGGGGGGGGTGGGGGCAGTGAAGGGGCGGGCTCGGGCATGGACTGAGCCTGAAAAAACAATCCATTTAACAGCGACGGGCAGCGGGAGGGGGGTGGAAGGGCGGGGGGACGGCGGGAGCGGGGGACGGGGGGGGGGCGGGGGGCAGCGAAGGGAGTGCTTCGGGCATGCACTGAGCCCTTAAAAACACTCCATTCTAACAGCAAGGCAGGCAGCGGGAGGGGTGGGCAGGAGTGGGGCATGCACTGGAGCCCTTAAAACACGCCAGTCCAGCGGAGGGGGTCGGCGGGGGTGGGAAGGGCGGGGGGAATGGGGGGGAGCGGGGGGGGCGGGGGGGGCGGGGGCAGCGAAGGGAGGGCTCGGGCATGCACTGGAGCCCTTAAAAACACTCCATTCTAACAGCAAGGCAGCGCGAGGGGTGGGCGGGAGTGGGGCATGCACAACCCTTAAAACACGCCAGTCTGACAGCAAGGAAAGCGGGAGGGGGTCTGGCGGGGGGGGAAGGGGCAGGGGCCGGGGGGGGGCGGGGGCAGCGAAGGGGGGCTCGGGGCCCAAGGCAGAGGGAGGGTTGTGGGAAGGACGTGGGGCAGGCAATGCGAGCCCTTAAAACACGCCAGTCATGACAGCAAGGCAGCTCAGGCGGGGGTGGGAAGGGCGGGGGAGCGGGTGGGAGAGCGGGGGGGGCGGGGGGGGGGGGGGAAGCGAAGGGAGGGCTCGGGCATGCATTGGAGCCCTTAAAAACACTCCATTCTAACAGCAAGGCAGCGGGAGGGGTGGGCAGGAGTGGGGCATGCGCTGGAGCCATTAAACACGCCAGTCTGAAAACACTCCATTCTAACAGCAACAGGAGTGGGGCATGCACTGGAGCCCTTAAAACACGCCAGTCTGACAGCAGGCAGCGGAGGGGGTCGGCGGGGGTGAGAAGGGCGGGGGGAGCGGGGGGAGCGGGGGGGGCGGGGGGAGCGGGGGGGGGCGGGGGCAGCGAAGGGAGGGCTCGGGCATGCACTGGAGCCCTTAAAAACACTCCATTCTAACAGCAAAGCACAGCAAGGCAGCGGAAGGGGTGGGCAGGAGTGGGCATGCACTGGAGCCCTTAAAACACGCCAGTGTGACAGCAAGGCAGCGGAGGGGGTCGGCGGGTGTGGGCAGGGCGGGGGGAGCGGGGGAGCGGGGGGGGCGGGGGGGGCGGGGGCAGCGAAGGGAGGGCTTGGGCATGCACTGGAGCCCTTAAAAACACTTCATTCTGACAGCAAGGCAGCGGGAGGGGTGGGCAGGAGTGGGGCATGCACTGGAGCCCTTAAAACACGCCAGACAGCAAGGCAGCGGAGGGGGCAGCGAAGGGAGGGCTCGGCGGGGGTGGGAAGGGCGGGGGGAGCGGGAAGGGCGGGGGGAGCGGGGGGGGCGGGGGGGGCGGGGGCAGCGAAGGGAGGGCTCGGGCATGCACTGGAGCCCTTAAAAACACTCCATTCTAACAGCAATGCAGCGGGAGGGGTGGGCAGGAGTGGGGCATGCACTAAACCCCTTAAAACACGCCAATCTGACAGCAAGGCAGCGGAGGGGGTCGGCGGGGGCGGGGGGGCGGGGGGAGCGGGGGGGGCGGGGGGGGGCAGCGAAGGGAGGGCTCGGGCATGCACTGGAGCCCTTAAAACGCAAGGCAGCGGGAGGGGTGGGCAGGAGTGGGGCATGCACTGGAGCCCTTTACACACGCCAGTTTGACAGCAAGGCAGTGGAGGGGGTCGGCGGGGGTGGGAAGGGCGGGGGGAGCGGGGGCAGCGGGCGGGGCGGGGGGAGCGGGGGCAGCGAAGGGAGGGTTCGGGCATGCACTGGAGCCCTTGAAAACACTCCATTCTAACAGCAGGGGTGGGAAGGGCGGGGGTGGGAGCGGGGGGAGCGGGGGGGGCGGGGGCAGCGAAGGGAGGGCTCGGGCATGCACTGGAGCCCTTAAAAACACTCCATTCTAACAGCAAGGCAGCGGGAGGGGTGGGCAGGAGTGGGGCATGCACTAAACCCCTTAAAACACGCCAGTCTGACAGCAAGGCAGCGGAGGGGGTCGGCGGGGGGGGGGGGGGGGGGGGGGGGGGGGGGGGGGGGGGGGGGGGGGGGGGGGGGGGGGGGGGCAGCGAAGGGAGGGCTCGGGCATGCACTGGAGCCCTTAAAACGCAAGGCAGCGGGAGGGGTGAGGAGTGGGGCATGCACTGGAGCCCTTAAAACACGCCAGTTTGACAGCAAGGCAGTGGAGGGGGTCGGCGGGGGTGGGAAGGGCGGGGGGAGCGGGGGCAGCAGGGGGGGCGGGGGGGGCGGGGGCAGCAAAGGGAGGGTTCGGGCATGCACTGGAGCCCTTGAAAACACTCCATTCTAACAGCAAGGCAGCGGGAGGGGTGGGCAGGAGTGGGGTGGGAAGGGCGAGGGGAGCGGGGGGGGGCGGGGGGGGGCAAGACTATGGGTCTTCACTAGCGCCTCCCCCGCTCAAAGCTCGGGTCGGCGGATTCCTAAGTCTTGGGTCCAGACATCGAACACGAACACAGCCGGCGTGATCAGCACAGATTAGATGTCTCTCTTCGAAGGGGCAAATTGAAACAATGAACTGATGACCCCAAGCACCGAGCACGCATGTCCAAAAGCCTGCAAGCCTTTGGCTCTCCGCTGCGGGTGCGACACAAGAGTCCGGATCCATAGACCATGAACCCATGTGAACCTTTTACCTCGCATCCATGCTAGAACCCCAGCCAGGCATCAACATGGATGTGGAGAGGAGCTCATGTCGGTTGATGTTTAACAATGACAACATAAATAAACTGGGCTATCGTTGATTTCTTCGGGCAGCAATGGAGACGTTGATGGACCCCATGGATATCCGTTTTTCGCAGGACAACATCGGAGAACATTTCAGGGATGGCACCTGCATTTTTGAGACGCGCGACAGCATCATCCAAGGCATGGAAAAGCGTGAGGTAGACATGATCCACGTTGTGGAGCGTGGGGCGTGCTATGTCACGTTGGACAACCGGCGGTTGGCTGTGTATAAGATGGTTCGCAAGGCCGGAAAGTGCGGCAGGGTGAAGGTCAAGATTATGCGTCGCGATCAGGTGGACACAGAGTTGAGGCGCAAGTCGGACTCCACCGTGGAAGGCTTGTCTGTGAAAGTTCGGGGGACTGACATGGTGATCCATGCCGATGGATCTTTGACCGCCAAGAAGCCGTTGACCGACGGGCAGTTGCAGCACCGCGCGGACACGGGAGGCCACTGGTCTGACGAGCAGCTGGAGGTCATTGCTACAGCCATCAGGGACTTCGAGGCGGTGGTAAAGCATGTTCTTGGAAGTGGTGCAAAGCTTGTGAAGGCCGGCAGCTTCATGAAGGGGACTGACATTGCTGGCGAGTCGGACGTGGATGTGATGGTTTTTGGATGTGGTCCCATTTCAGAAAGCAGCTGGCAATCGCTCGTGGATGGTATCAGGAACCGCGGCTATACCATCCAGAGCACCAACCCAAGGTGCATCCATGTGAAGGCAAGCGCAGGCTGCATCACCATAGAGTTCGACGTGGTCGCAAAACAGCGGCAGGGCTTTCCTGCCAATGCTGAGCCCACCAATCCCTTCAAAGAGAATCGACTTGCAGCCCGGGCAGTTCGCAACATCAAGTTGGACTTTCTGGAATCAGGGGAGGGGCGCTTCAGCGGGAATTCCATCGAAGAGGCTGTCCTCTCAGAGCAAGGCAAGCTGCACAGCGCGGGCCTCGGCAAGCTGATTGATGCTGCCAAGGCCACGCTCAGGGCAAACGTCACGGCAAAGCGCAAAAGCACACCTACAGCAGCCAGGAAGAACGACGCAAGCAAAAACACCACGGATTGGGACGCGGTCGTAGGTCAAGGCGAGCCGGGCAGCAGCTTCGTAGATGCCTTGATGCTGCGTTTTTGTTCGTATAAACCCCAGGCATTGTCTTGGTTCTCGTTTGGGCAGCTATTAAAATTGAATCCAAACATCTCGGAAAATGTGTTGCGGTTGCACCATTTGGGTCTACAGCCTAAGTTGTGCTGCTCAGGAGTTGGGCTTAATGAGATCAACCGAATTTCAACCCACAGCCACTTCAGTTCTTCCTCGTACTTGCAGGCCAGTTTCGCAAAGTCTTCAAGGGTCGCTACACAGTTGGTGACCGCGTCGGCCAAGCATCAGCTGCCAAAGTTTTCAAGGATGGTACAGAGGCAAGTTGGACAGACCGGGCTGATGTTTGGGATTCGTGGGATGCAAGGGCCTGTAAAGCAGCACCGCCATGCAGTTAGCCCTCATGAAGACTTTCGTTCGATGCCATAACTTGTCATACCCTGCGCAGTTGGGCCTAGTAGTCTTGAAGATGCGCGAGCAGCACAAAAAATTGAGAGCAAATCCCTGAGGCATTTGAGGATGCTTTCTTCGCAGAGGATGTCGCAGTGTCAGACAAGGCTATCGAGATCGTTGATGCTTTCAACAAAGCCAAGAAGTTCAAGCACTTTATGCAAGTCTGCAAGCCTGATGTGTGGGTCAGGACTCGAACTAAACAAAGATTTCTGGTGGAGCCCTTCCTCTCCAACTTTCAGCACTTCAATTCAAACACGGCTTGGGCTGGTTCGACGCCGTGGGCCACAGCGCTGCAGTCTCTGAGCCATTTCTCTTACCATTTCTCTGGCGGCGAGATGGTCCTGTGTGACTTGCAAGGTGCTGTGGAGGAGCGCTGACTTGGGTTTGTCGAGGTTGCTGCTTTTGAGTGTTGACGCTGCTAGGCCACCCCCGAGCAAGAACTCGTAAATTTTCTCGTAATTTGCGTACGCCCAATTCATCTTTTCTGTTCCCGGCATCCCCATAGCCGCCCGACCGCAAGACCAAGTCAAGACGCGCTGTTGAAAAGCCACCGTGGTCTTCACAGACCCGGCCATCAACTCCAAAGGCGCGAGACGAATCCAGAGCTTCCGAAATCCATTGGTGCGCTAAGACCTATAGACTGTAAACCCTCTAACCCGAAGCTCGAAACCCTCTGTGGTGCATTGAAGGGATTCCTGGACCCTAGGGTTGCACTACAGGCAAGGCAGAGGAAATCATATCTTCAAGCGCGGCATATGTGTGCCCTATGTTAGTCTATCTTGGTTTTTTGGGGCCTGGCATGTGCGCTCCGCTTTTTCGCAATTTTGGCCGACGAACCCTAACACAAAAACCCTAAACCCTAAACCCCAGCAAAATCCTGCACAGGCAAACGCTTTGGACCGGCCGACTTGGGTGAGAAAGGTGCTCCGGCCGAACGGTTGCGCGCACTTGTGGGGGATTGGAGGACCCTCTTCAGGGGCGTATGCATGTAGTATAGACGTGGTCTTGGGCCCTTTAACCAAAGGCGGTTGCCATCCCTGAAAACACGCCCCCCAGAAAGCAAAGCCGCGCTGTTGTTTTGTTGGGCCTCTGGTTTCGTGTTGGCGAGGTGGACGCGGTCTTTCCTGTAGTCTTGACATACTTTTTGTCTACTTACAAAGACTTCCGATGGTATGCCGGCAGGTTGCATGGTTCTTTAGCCAAAATCTTGGAATTTGTACATGCTCAAAACTCAACATGCACGATGCCCCCAAATCCTGTGCTCATTGTTCAAGCTTCTGTGGAACCTGCTCTGTGGTGTGGTCGGGATGAAAGGGTCGCAGGTCAAGCAGGTTACGACAAAGGGACTCATGGACATAAGCTTAAACTGGGAGAGTCTGGGCTCAGCGGCGTTACAAGTTTTGTTAGTCTTGTCAGCAATCGTATGCATGCCCAGTCTGTCCGCGGCATTCGTCCTTGAATTGCACACGCACGTTCATGCTGAGGCATCGAGAACTTCTTTCACCACCATGTGTGCTCGAAGTGGTGTGATGAAAGCTGGAAAAAGCCCGCAGCGACACGTGCTCATTTCACTCCGCAGATGGGTACGTCCATGATCCTGCACTGAGAAGCATCAGCATCAGGATCCCTTACCAATCGGAACAGTGCATGCCATCGGACAGCAAAGCCGATGTGCGAATGCACATTTATTATTGCCTAGAAGTCAGCAAGCAGTCATGCGTCTGATCGACATGGTGCGTATGTTCGTGGGCCGTTAGAGCTGAAGGTCGTGCGATCATCATAAGCAGTCGGGGCTTCAGATGCGTGAGGGCACGGCCAATTTCAAGCGCTGATGGCGAGCAGGCCAACCATCCATTCTGTGCAGAAGCTGCAGATGGGGCGGTTGATGGCAAGCCATGGCCCAACATCGCGGATAAAAGAAAAAGGCTCGAGAATCAGCTGGTCATGCCAGACTGTATTGAGCAGTTGTTCAGTTCCTGTTTTCTGATTCGCGCGATAGCCTCAGGAAGGAGTGTCACAAGGTGGGTTAAATGTCTTGACGCCCGTTCCATGCTTTTCTGCCGGCAACCCCGGAAGTTTTGACATGAATCGCCTTCAACACGACTGGAGTATGCCGATGATTTTCTGAAGAGAGGCCCATGTAACAAAATCCTGCGATGCGGTGCGCCGAGCTGTACAAGAGCCAAGACAAAGCGTAACAAAAACAAACAACACCCCAAAAGGCCCTAAACCCGGAACCCTAAGCCTAAACCCCAAACCCTACACCCTAAACCCTAAACCCTAACCGACCCTAAACCCTACCCCCCACCCCAAACCCTGATTAAACCCTACATGTTCGTATCCCCTCAAAGCGCAGGCAGAGGCCAAGCGGAGGCCCCAAAGCTCGACGGCCGCATCTGAAGACGGCATCTCTCGAGAGACCATGGACACTGGGCTTTTAGGGTTTAGGGTTTAGGGTGCAGGGTTTCGGGCTTAGGGTTTAGGGTTCTGCAAGCCGCTGCAAAAGGGTTTAGGGTTTAGGGTTTAGGAGTCCAGTTGCAAAAGGGTTTGGGTTTACGGGTTAGGGTTTCAGTGCCAGCTGACATGCAGAGTCTGGGTTCAAAAAAAGGGCTTAGGGTTACTAATTAGTGCTTCCAATCCACTTAACTGCATTCTTTAGTATTTCATCTAGATATTTAATGTCTTTGCTGCCTCCATTCTGACAAAGTATTTCAATGTGTTCAATTAATTCCGAGTATTGTTGTATGAGCTTTTTATCTTCCTGAATTCTACCTCCTACAGAGACACATCGCATCTAACATTCAAAAGCATCGTGACTATCAAAAACACTTTTATACATGTCTGTTTGACTTGTTTAACTCATTAGATTTAGTTAGGTAATCTATTTCATATAGTTGCCTTTCATATTTCTTTTTGATATGCTTCACTTGCACTTTTTGCGTGTTTAGATTTTGTGTAATCCATTTCCCGCTTTAAAAGTGTATGTGTGTATATATATATATATGTGCATTTTTGCTTGAAGCGTTTTCTTTCGAAATTCTTTTCTTAAGACTAACCAAGCATATCATTTTAATGAAGCAAAATTATGGTTGCTCTTGTTGCTCTCGCCTTTCCCCTTTTTCCTGAATCTTCGGCATTCTTTTCGTCGCTTTTCGTTTTCCTCAATTTGCTCTTGGATGCTTTCTATCTCATCAATGAATAATCAGTCGACGCCTAGTGTCGTAATGAAAACTAGGTCTTCCTGCATATATATTCTTCTCTGTACATCTACTTCTGTCGGCTTCAGTCTGGGCAGTGTTAAGTGCTTTTGAAAAATCTCTTTAATCTATTCGCCCTCTCACGTATCAAACCATTTGTGTCTTCATTCTCCTCAATCATAAAGCCGAAAATATTCAACGTGCACCTTAGCGCTCATCATTATCTTGATATACATAGTTGATATTTCTTTAAGCGTTTTCTTTAGAAATTCTTTTCTTAAGACCTATCAACAGGAATTTCAATAGATATTCTGTCCTTGTGCTTACCATCGCTTGGCTTGGCTTGGCTCGGCTCTGCAGGTTTAGTTTTTTGCCAAGGTGCGGCTTGGCTTGGGGCAGGGGAGAGAGGGTCGTTGTCGCTTCGACGTCGTGACCCTCCACTCGAACTAGCTCGTGTTCTACCCGCAGGGCTTCGGCCAGTCGAGCTCCTGTTGACTTGGTCAGCCGTCCTCGTAGTTCTTGCTGTGCGTTGCTTGCGCTGTATTCCGCACCCTCTCTTGCCCAAAGGAACAACTCTCCAAGCAGCTTCTGGCTGTTCCTTGGATGCATCCGGGTCATGTCCAGGGCCACAATGTCACCGGAGCCGCAAAGCAACGAGGTCTAACTTGCCTGAGCAGCCCTGGAACACCAGGCAGCCTTCGCAACTGTACAGTGCACAGAGTCTCACCGCGAGAAGCTGCGATGGTTTGCTCAGATCCTTGTGCCCTTTTCAGGTCTAGGACCCTGACGGGGTCACATGTCGCAAGGCGTAGGGTTCGGGTTAGGAAGTTTTAGGGTTTTGGGCCCCAAGTCTGGGGGGCAGCGTTTCGTGGTCCAGCGGCAAGAAAGAAACGTGCTCTGCTGGTCCAGGACTTGAGTGCTTGGAGTAGGAGGAGGAGCCGGTGCTCTAAGCCCTAAATGACGTTCATACTTGGAGGTTCATGGTACTTGTTAACCAATTATGACTGTACTTATAACCCACTTATAAGCCCTTTAAGTGCCCAAATATGGTTATAAGTACAGTTAGAAGTAAGTACAGTTATAACTGTTTAATAAGTACCATGAACCTCCAAGTAGAGCCTTTTTCAACCATAAGCGTATGTACGAGAGCGGCGAAACCCCACGCAGCAAAATCCATGTATTCTCAGACAGAGGATACTCTCGGGTCATTCACCCGCTGATGCTCGGTCTGGGAGTTGCCCCAAGTCATAAACCCTCCCTGCCCCCATCTAAACCCTCCAACTCCTAAACCCACTGAATGCCTGCGTTTGCTCGTGTGAGGGCCGAATCCCCTTAACCGGTAAACCCTATAAACCCTATGAACCCTATAAACCTAAACGACCCCCCGGGGGGCCAGGTGAAGGGCGCCGGGCTGGCGGAGCAGCAGGTCGCCGAGCTCTGGGACCTTGGGCGCCTGCTGCTGGCATTGCGGCCCGCACGCGATTGAATCCTTCATGGGGGGGGCCTCAAGGGTTTACTGGGTTTATAGGGTTTAGGCGGGGCCTCGAGGGTTTGCTGGGCTTACAGGGTTTGGGGGTTTAGGGTTTAGGGGTAGGGTCGGGGTGCAGGTTTTGGAAGGCTTGTTGGTGGTAAACGGGGACTCAGGAGAGCGGTTTAAGACGGTGGAAGAAAGCCAGGGGAGCGCCGCTTTTTTTTCTCTGCAGTTTCTGAGGTGCAAAACCATGCGACCCCCCCGCACCCTGGTATCGGCCTTCTAAACTCCGAAACCCCTTTTATAAGAGTTTCCCGAGGTTGCTCCCTGACGATGCCGCCGTGGAGAGCGCGGCGACGGCCGCTGCGCGCGGCCTGGGCGCCAACGGTGAGGCTATCGGAGGGAAGATAAGATGTGTTGTTGAGGTTGTTGGAGTTGGAGACTCATCCCCTCCGCTGACATTAAACTCCCCCCTACCCCCTACATAACACTAAACACTCCCCATATACTATAATGTAGCTATCAGGGGGAGGGGGCTATGTTCGCACCGTAACCTGTATCAGCCGGCAAAGAAAGGCGCCCAGGAACGAAGAAACAATCAAGCAAACCCTAAACCCCCCAGGCTCTGGAGTCGCAGCTGCCCCGTCTCCGAAGGGGCCGCGCTGGCGGCCCCGGGGCCCCTGGGGTCCCGGAGGCCTCGCTGCTGCGGACGGCGCCTGGGATCTGAACGCTTCGGAACGCCTCTGCTTGTTTTTTTTTTTTAGGGTTTAGGGTTTGGGGTTTAGGCTTCGCTTCTGAACGCTTTTTCGTTTTTTTGTTAGGGCTTCTGGGCTGTGGGACTAATTTTTGGGCCGCATGATTTTCGGGTCTTACAAGGGTTTATATAGGGCTTGAGAGGTTCTTGCCATTTGGGAGGCTTGAGGGTTGAGGTGGCTCGAGGGTGCCTTCTTATTGGGAGCTCAGTTCCAGTTTCGGGCCTCCCTTGCCCCTGAGAAGCTCCGACCCAATTGCCGCTTCAATTCCTTCTGGCTCCAAAACGAAGGTGCCCATCAAGGTTTCTGTTTCCCTAAGCCCAAAACCCTAAACCCTAAACATCCCTAAACGCTAAAACCCCCCTTTCCCCCCACAGTTGCTATAGAACAAAGTGCTGGGCGACCCAAAACCCTAAACCCTAAACCCTAAACCCTAAACCCTAAACCCTAAACCCTAAACCCTAAACCCTAAACCCTCCTAAACCCCAAACCCAAAATTCACTATAGAAGAAGGTGCTGGGCTCCCCCCTGGACCGCAGCGCAGCCTGGCCTTTGCCCTTCGCCTGCGCCGTGGCCGACGTGGCCCTGACCTGCGCTGCGGCGGAGGCCGATGGCTCGAAGCCTCCACCCGGCACCCAGGTCCCACTTTTGTGCAGATGTTTTTTTTCCTTTATTTGATTAGTCTTATGATGATGATTCTAATTATTCATGTTTTTGTTTATGTATTTTATTTATGCATTTTTTTTGGGGGTGGGGGTTGCGGTTTTGGTACTTTTTTTGTGCTTATTTGGGCTTTGGTCACTTTTGTTGGTGCGACCCGCTTGTTGGAGTGGTCCTTCTCTCGCCTAACACCTGCTATCCCAAAAAACAACTTACCCCCTCAACCCTTTGTAAATCACAAGTTGGGATGTTCCCCCTTTTCAACAGTTCTGAATAGGGATTCTAGAACCCCCCCTATCAAAACCCCTTTAAAGGACTCTTAGTATAAGGGGGGGAACATCCCAACCTTTAAAAAGTCATACGCCCCCCCCCCCCCCCCCCCCCCCCCCCCCCCCCAAGAGTCCTACGAAACTCAGGCATGGCCTCCATTGCGGGGAAGCTCCTCCAACAAGCTCAGGCCCCGAAGTGGCCAACAGAAAATAGGGCCTTTGGGGGAATCGGAGGGCCGGCTTCCCAACGCATGGCTCCAAAGGGTTAGGGTGTTATGTATATACATGTATTCAAAAAATATGTGTATACGAATATGTATATATATATATATGTGTGTGTATGTATATATATATATATATATATGTCAGAGGATTCAGACTCGTACCCGAAGGTTCCCCTTAATCTACTCTTGATTGAGCCCGTATACCTTGAGGATCTTTAAAAAGGGTCCCCCAGACCCAAGGGTACAACCTTCAGGGTCCATGGTACAACCCCCAGAATATGTTTGTTTTTGAGATTTTACATGTGTGTGTTGTTGATATCCGCCCCTCACCCCAACACCCATAAACTCTATATGGCCCTATGGCTCTTGTGCATTTCCTGCGCGGTCAGAGAAGACAGTCGCGCGGATTATATAGATGGGCTCCGCTATGCTCCGCTCTCTTGTTGAACCCGTTCCCCACCCCAAGTACACGCCCCAAAACCGGTACACACCCTAAAACCCACTGAGCGCGAAGCCCTGTAAATGCAAATCTCTACAATTTTTCGGGTTTGTACATGAAGGCTCGGAGGTGTATGGGGTACCTGGGACCCTATTTACCTACAGATTACTAGTAAGTACCCCCTATTTTGTAGGTATAACCCTTATTAAGCTGTAGGGAATTAAGGTCCCAGGTATACCCCTTGAGCCACCAGGCCTGCATCTCGCAAGCGGGCGTCGCCGAGAAGTCCAAAGCCGACTTCTCGGGGTTCTACGCCGGCTTCGAGTGCACCTACTCCTCGGGCCTGGACGTCGAGAAGCTCTCCCCGTAATTGTCGCTGTCCTTTGGGGGTTATTCTTGTGTTGAGGACCCCACGCTCCCCTTAAGCAGGTTGCCTAAACCCTAAACCCTAAACCCTAAACCCTAAACCCTAAACCCTAAACCCTAAACCCTAAACCCTAAACCCTAAACCCTAAACCCTAAACCCTAAACCCTAAACCCTAAACCCTAAACTAAACCCTAAACCCTAAACCCTATACCCTATAAACCCTAAACCCTAAGGAAGCTGCCACATGAGCTTCGCCGGTGGCCCTTCGAGCCGGAGCAGCCTCCATGGCTGGTGGGCCGGCAGCATCAGCTCGAGCTGCTCTCAAGGCTGGTGCCCTCCAGGCTCAAAAAGGGTTTAGGGTTTAGGGTTTAGGGTTTAAGGTTCAGGGTTCAGGGTTTTAGGGTTTTAGGGTTTTAGGGTTTTAGGGTTTTAGGGTTTTAGGGTTTTAGGGTTTTAGGGTTTTAGGGTTTTAGGGTTTTAGGGTTTTAGGGTTTTAGGGTTTTAGGGTTTTAGGGTTTTAGGGTTTTAGGGTTTATAGGTTTATAGGGTTTAATCCTCTGCAGTTTAGGGGCCGAGGAATTTTGGGTGGGCGTTTGGCAGTCATCACGTCCGGCTTCAAAGAAGAAGGTGTTTTGGGTCTCGGAACCTCTCGAGAGAGCCTCGTCGTCCGACACCAGAAGCAGAACCGGAAAGGCAGCTCTTCACCAGCATCGGGCGCACGCACTTCGAGCTGTGGCCGGAACCCGACAAGGAGGGGAAATGCCGGCTCGAAGCCTCGAATTCCCTAGAAGCCCCTCAAGAAATCCCCTTAAACCTTATAAGCCCCGAAGCCCAAAGAACTCCCAGACCGAAACCCCAAACTTGGGATGTTCCCCTTCTACTAGCAGTCCTTAATCGGGATGGTAGTACCCCCTTGTCATAATCCCTAGTAAGGACTTAGCTAGTATCGCGGAGAACATCCGAAACCAAACTCCTCCGAGAGCCTCGGAGCGCATCGGAGGAGCGTCCGACGCTGCGGCTGCAGCCGATGTCGCCGAACCCACTTCAGGTGGACGAGCGCCCGGTGGTGGCCGGAGAGCGGCCTGCAAAGAGTGAGTTTTATTTTTTTTTTGGGGGGGGGAGGGGGGGGGAGGGGGGGGGAGGGGGGGGGGGGGGGGGGAGGGGGGGGGAGGGTGGGGGAGGTTTCCGTTCTCTATACGCCAAAAAGAACCCCTTTATGTATACCCCGTGAGGTGTTCTTAGCTTCTGAAGTAGTGAGTGTTCGGAAGCCGCGGACTGCCACCGAATTCCGGATTTGGGCGCCTAAAGGGCCTCTTGGGGTGGTTCTGGTGCCCAGGCGTTTGTTTTTGCAGAAGGGCCTGCCCTAAAAACCCTATGAAATACTTGGCATGGCCAAGTCTTGTGAAAAAAGACATGCTCTTGCGCCTTGCGGTTTAGGCCTGCGGGAATAGCATTTAGAGGCTTTCTAGTGAGGGTTTTAGTGATCCCTGTGGAAGTCACCTTTGCTGGAGGTCGGAATCCGAGGGGGTCTCCATCCGAGACGGCTCGACCGTGAGCTTCTGCTTCCAGGGCGAGGCTTCCTCACATGCTGGGGCGCGCATGTCTGCACATGTTTAGGTCGGGCCGGAACCCTGAACAGAAGTTCCAAGAGCAGGATTCCCTTTTCCAACCCTAAACGCGACAGTCTTAGGGTTTAGGAAAACGGTCATGCGCCCTCAAGCATGTCTTGGCGCCGAGCCAGGGCTCCTCTCCTCCTAGGTAGGATAAGGCGGACCCTTAAACGGGAAGCCCTTCTTAACCCTCTTCTGGCTCTCTTAAGCAGGGACCTTATTCAGAGGGTTTCTATCCCCAAGGGTCCCCCTAATACTAGCCCCTATCTCCTAGTGGACACCGCGGACACCGCAACAAAAACATCGCGAAACCCTCTTAACCCCCTGAAGCTAAGAGCTGCCAAAGTCAGCGTCGGTGCTGGCCCCTTTGCAAAGTCACGGGGTCAATGGTCCAAAAACTCTGACCTGGAGAGGTCTTCCTGACGCTGCAGTTCCTCATTCGCCGAGGTGTGGAAGCCGCCCCCACGCAGGACCACTCAAAAGACCCTCTGAAGCCCTCTGCAGCCATGACAGCTTCGGAAGTGGTGGCCTGCAGCAGTACGAATTGTGCCGCAGTCTCCGCAGGAAGCGCTGCAGCTTCCCTTGGACACAGTGCCCACAGTGGCGCGATCGAGCGCGGCCCCCACGAAGTGTTGCCGGAAGATTTGGGACGGGTTTCGCCTCTATTTCGGCTGCTTCTCGGAGGGCAGATTGCTTTAGTCTCCAGTGACAATTGCCCAGTTCACATGTATCAAGGCAGATGCAGGATCCTCGCCGTCCCTGCAAAGTCGACGTTTTCCAAAGCCCTTGTAGCACCGTGAACACTCCAAGCATCATGGACAGCTGGGATACCGGGCTTCCCGGCCCTGGTCCTATGCCTTACCAGGGATTCTCCCGAGAGAAATCCCCTATCGAAAGAGAAAACTAAACCCTACAAGCTCCCTAAGCCCTGAACCCTGAATCCTGGTGTCCTCTTGTGCGTTTTGGGGATTTTCCTCACAGCGCCTCGGAAAGGCCCGGCAGCCTACGCATTAGTGTGCGCCGGGCTCCTCAGGCAGGGCAAGGAAAGGAGGCGGGTTGTTTAGGAGCGTGTATTGCTGTTGAATGTCCGGCACCTCTCAGGGGGATTCGAGCTTTCATGGTTGAGATTCCTCACGGCTGCGCAGCATTTTGAGGCAAGAGACCTAACCCTTGGCCCGACCCCGGAAACCGTCAAGCTCCCAGTTAAGTCTTGTATGAAGCCCTCAGGGCCTAAATCAGTTGCCTTCTTGTGCCAAACCTCTTCGTATTCAGGTTATGAAGCCTCCGAGGCCTCGCAAATCTCTAGGCCCCCAAATGCTCCAACAAGTCTTTGAGCAAAACAAACCCCATAAACCCTGCCTAAGAGCCCGTGTAGCAGAAGCGGATGCCTGCGTCAAAGGCCCTTCACCCCCTTTCACTTCCCAAACCCCGAAACCCTGAACCTCTTAGAAACCCTCCCTCAACTTTTTGGTAGTGTGCTCCTCGCAGACTTGTCATCGTTGCCTATGAAGGAAGCTTTTTGTGGGCTCTCAGGGTATAACCCTAAGCTACATGAACCACTAAGGATCGCCTTGCAGGCTCGTCCGATCTGGGGTTGACCTGGGGAGTTGAACCCCAACCTAGACCCAGAATTTTAAACCCCAAATCCCAACTCTAAGGTCTATACCCTAACACCCAGACCCGAACCCCAAGATTGAAGACCCTTAAGCCCTAACCCCAAAAGATTGAGAAGGTACCGGCGGCTGAGCATGGGAATTGCTGCGAACTCAAGCGACAGGCACAGGCTTAAAGGGTCGCTTGGGTGGTGCGCAGGCGAAGCAGCCGATCATCTGCCAAAGGAGGCCCGGAAGTGTTGGATCCGACCTTGTCTCATGAAAATTTCTCGCACTCCCCAAAGGCGTTAAGTGGGGTAGAGACCATCCACCCTGAGCTCTACTGCATCCCCAAAAACCCTTCAAGCTCCCTAAACCCACGCAAGCCCTGAACCCCGAATTTACAAGTGAAAGCCTCTCACATCGCGGCTGAAAATCGTGAATCTCTGGGCCGACAAAGAGAGGTCTGCAGGATTCTGGGTCCCCCCCAAACATGCTCAAGCCTTGAACCTGCTTGGGGGGGGGGGGGGGGGCGGTACACCGATAGAGGACTACTTGTGTTCTCGGTTCTCGGAGCCCTATACCAAGGGTGTGCTTTGCTTTCATGGGAGTTGGTGAGTTCCAGAAGTGGTAGACCGTGATAGAGGGCATCTCACAAACCGAGCAGCCGCCTGCAGCTTAGGCCATGCAACCTGGAGTGCTGTCTTGGTGGCTCCAAACCCATCAACCCTACGACCCCGAACCCTAAACCCTAAATCCTAAACCCTAAACCCTAAACCAGAGTCCTCGCCCGCGTTCCGCTAGCGTGAGAGTCGAAACCCTAAACCCTAAACCCCCCGAACCCTCAATTGTCAAATCTTAAACCCGGGAGTGAAAGAAGCCCAAAAACCTTCAGAACACCAAGCTTGGGCCCGACGCTTGGGCCCTCACACCGCCAAGCCGGGACTGAGGAGAGGAAGATCTCGATCTCCTCCGAGGGCGCGGGCGGCGAGATTTAGGGTTTATGGTTTGGGGTTTAGTTTTTTTAGTTTACGGTTTAAGTCCTGATTCAAAAAGGGTTTAGGGTTTAGGATTAGGGTTTAGGGTTTCCCTACATAGGGTTGGGCGGGGCACATAGCGTGCCCAAATCTTGAACTTCCTTTGCAGAAGTAGAACAAAATTTGTAAATTTGGTTGAACCCACACGAAACCTTAAACCCTGTCTGTAAACTCGCAACCTGTCCCTAAGCCCGAAACCTGAAAATCTGTGGGTCTTAGGGTTTAGGGTTGACCCCCCAAGCCCAGTCGCAAAAAGGGTTTACTTGGAGGTTCAGGGTACTTACTCATGACTTATAACTGTACTCAAAAACCCACTTATAAGCCCCTTCAGTGCCTAATATGGTTCAAAGTACATGTCTAAGTACCGTTATACGCGATCAATAAGTACCATGAACCTCCAAGTAGAGTCTTAGGGTCGAGGCCCGAACTGCCCCTCCTGCACCGGAGGCCCCACATCCATCGGCCGGCAGTGCCAACCAGGCCCGGGTTCAGGTGAACCAGGGTTTGGGGTTTAGGGTTTAGGGTTTAGGGTTAAGTTAGCAGGGTATGGGAGTTGCTGTCGGATTTCTGTAGGGTCAATGGGCTTTGCAGGGATTTGCAGGGTCTTTGTTGGGGCTGCATGACCCAAGCCGGGTGCCAGGCACAGGGTTCTGGCTAATTATCGGGCACGTAAGGTTTAAGGATAGGAGTTTTGGGGGGTCAAAGCCCTAAACCCTAAACAAAAAAGCCTAAACTGTTTTGACGAGTTTAGGTCTCCAGGCTTTAAAAAAATTTAACCTCGTAGCTTCGCGTTCGGGATGTGAACAGCGGCCTCGGGGTAAGGGTTAGGGTTCTTCGAGTTCCGGGTTTGGGGTTTAGGGCTAAACCCCAAACCCTAAACCCTAAACCCTGGACCCTAAACCCTAAACCCTAAACCCTGTTGCAACAGGGCGTCTAAGGCTGAGTAAGTCGCAGGTTTCTTCGAGAACCTCCAGAAGCTGAGCCGGTCACAGTGGGGGTCTGGAGCCCTGGCGGTTTCTTGAGGGGGCCTGGGAGGTCAGGGCGTTTTGGGTTTTTGGGGTTTAGGGTTTCTTGGGTTTTGGGGGGTTTAGGGGAGGGTTTAGAGTTTAGGGTTTAGGGGTTGGTTGGGCTCACACGGGGTTTAGGGCTGAGAAGGGCAGCGAATAAATAGTCTCAGCAAATGGTCGATAAGTACTCTTTCAGAACATGAGTGAAGAATGATGAAGTTGGGCACGAACCATAGCAACATTTCAAACTCGTCCCTGGGCCCCAAGCTTAAGCTCGCAATGCAGAACCCCCGGCTTCTTTGCAGAGGTTCGTGCACTTCGTGTCGCGGACGCATTTTCAGGCCAGGCTGCATAACCCTCATCCCCCCCCCCCCAACAAAACATCTCCCCAAGCTTCCGGAGTCCCAAGGATATGTGTCCTAAACACCCCAAGCGCAGAAAGCCAGAAAGGGCATAGGATCTCGGCCGACACTCCTGGCCCCGACCGACAGCTCCTCAAGTGTGGGTGAATAGGCAAGGTGAGTGGTTTAGGGTCTTTGGGGCTTCTGCTGCCTACATTGTGCCCCGCAGTGGGCTAGGCGGGCGGCAGAAACTCCCAGAAATGTAAGGATATACTAGTACAATGGAATCATGTAACAACTCAGCCATATTATGAATGAGAATTATAACACTTGAGTAATCTTGCTGTAGGGTGTTTTTACGTAGCACAAAACGCTCCCCCTGAAAGCTGCGCCAGGTCACGGGTCTCGCCGAGGACCTCCCCCCCTCGAAACAGCGCTTCGAGGTCACCAACTGCAGCTTCCCGGCCTCCAATTTGTCTGTTTTGAAGAGGGTTTAGGGTTTAGGGCTCAGGGCTTAGGGCTTAGGGCTTCATGTCTTTTTCTTGCCTATATATAATGGTCCAGGATAGGGTTTAGGGTTTAGGGCTTAGGGCTTAGGGCTTAGGGCTTAGGGCTTAGGGCTTAGGGCTTAGGGCTTAGGGCTTAGGGCTTAGGGCTTCATGTTTTTTTCGGGTGCTGGGTTGAGCATGAGGGCTTGCCTGTATATAATGGTTCCAGGAGGCTTTTAGGATTCGGCTTGCTAGCATGGGACCCTTCGCAAGAGGGAGAGAGCGAGAGAGTCAGAGGCGACACAGAGCGAGAGCGAGAGGGAGAGCGAGAGGGAGAGCGAGAGCGAGAGGGAGAGCGAGAGGGAGAGCGAGAGCAAGAGCGCGAGCGAGAGCGCGAGCGAGAGCGAGCAAAACCAAGGCAGCAACCCCATCGTCCTGGCTGGGAAGGAGCTGCCAGGAAGGGCGCGGCAGGTCATCCAGGCCGCGACACGCGGTGTTGGGATTCGGGAGTGCCTTTTTCAGGTTGCGAGCATGGCCAGCTTGATCACAATTTGGAGCCCCGTCTGGATCTGGAAGGAGTCAGGATTTCCTGGATCAGTTGGGGGGCGCGAGTGTGTTGAGCACTGCCGAACCCATCGCAAAGCCTCGAGCTGTCCCAACGCCCCCCAAAGTCCCCTCAACCCTCAACCCTGAACCGTATACCCTAGACCCTCAACAGCCCGCAAATCCATGGAGCAGGTAGGCGACACCGTGGAACTCATTGCTCAGGATTTGGGGGTTTAGGGGCGGTTGCCTCCTTTTCTAAAACCACCGGGCTTTTGAGGGCCATCCTAGTAAACCCTAGAGAAGTATTTGATGCAGCGTGGCTACGGTGCCTTGAGCCAGTGTTTGCTCTTGAGTGTCGGGTGTTGTTAACGATGTTAGCCCCACGGCATCCGAAGAAACTATGCAGACATGCCGCCTGGGAACTTTTTCTCCCTAAGGTTGGGCCATGCATCTCTCTCTCTCTCTATATCTATATCCTCGGCCTCGCAGATGATAAATAATGTATAAGATGTAAGCAAAAAATAGAAGATATAAATCGATCATATCTAATATCGAATATAGAATGGACGATATAGTCGAGAATAGATAGCAGGGCATACATAATATGTACAAATTTCGAGGTCAACTTGCCTTGGGGCTAGTTTCTGGGGTTTCTGGTTCATCGGTTCTTCGAGTGCGGACGTGGGGTGTTCCAAAGCTTCATGATGTATATATGTAGCCCCTCATGATGGCACTGAATTCTAAACTGCTTGTAGCTTATGGGAACTTTTCGTGTTGAGCAAGCCGGTCCTAAGCCACGTTGATCATTAAGCCGACCATCTTTTCCACCACATTCACGCAGCAGAAGCTTCAGCGTGTGGAAATCAAGGGTGATGCTGGGCGCACGTTCTATCCCAAACACGGTCAGGCTCATCAACCGCGAAGCTGAAACTCTACGCTCCAAACCCATGGCTGCTCCAAGCCGCCTCAAGCTGCCCCCCCCCCCCCCCCAAAAAAAAAAAAAAAGAACCGCAGCCCCATCCTCCCGAGCCCAAAGTCTGGAGGACGGCACGGGTGTGGCCCCCTACCTTCGCTTTCGCGCCGGCCTCGGTCAAGTGGGAAACCTTCAACAGCAGCAAAGAGCGATTCGATTCGGAACCGCTTCATTATTTCTGCTGGCATGTTGCACCTCCATGCCTCCATAGCCTGTTGCCCAACAAACATCGCGTTGTTTCCACTACCATGACCACATTCATCCTACACCCTAAACCCCAAACCCTATATTATAATATGGTTTTTTCTTTGTAAGTTTTTTCGTATCTACAGTTACGTGTCGTCGATGCCCTCCCCAATTGCACCCTGACTCCTCGTACAGCCTTGGTACACCCCACAACCCCTCGAGAACTACTTGCAAACCCCAAAAGGCCCCCCCCCCCCAAACCCCCCCCTACCCAAACCCTGAAGCAAAACTGCCTCCCAACACTTCAGAGGCCTTCTTTGGTTGGGGCAGAGCCGCTCCACCAGCCCCCCGGCTTTTTTTGGCTGGGGAGGGAAGGGGGGCGGGGCGTCGGGGCGTTTAGTAAGTTTCTATCCTGAAGTTCAAGATGCGGATCCGAGAACTTGATTTAAGGAAGGCTCTTGCATGAAAGGGTATATGGCATTCTCCGGATTCTAGAGGTTCAGGGTGAAACGCGACGCAAGAATGCGGCTCCCATATGATTGCAAATGTAAAAATGACAATCATATGCCCACTTTCACCTGAATACTTCTTCTAAAAACCACTCGTCGCGAGAATACGATGCTGTATTGGGAAATCTATGATCCGGGGGGGGGAGGGAGGGAGATGCCAGGGCTTACAAGGCTTAGAGCACCCTCTTTGGCGGGCAACTTTATACACCCCAAGGAGGTCAAAGACTTAAGCCAGAACCTGGTTTCCCTAGTAGGACACTGGTATTTGCTATATTAACCCTTATTGGGCTTCATATTTGGGAATCGTTTTTTTTCAGAGGGTTCAGCCTGAGTCCATGAGGCTCTCTCGCCTCGCGCGCGACCACGCCTGGGACGATATTGCTGGACCGGCAGGACCACCAGAGTTTGCAAGGGGGCTCCGTTGGGCTCTCGCCGTGTTTAATCGGCACCCTTTTTGTCTGCCGTGTCTTCGAAGTCTTCTGCATTAGGTCCGGGTGCGCCAGGCCCGGTATGGAGAGTCGGTGTAGGACTACATTCAGAGAGAGGGAGAGCAGGTGTAGCATGTTACTGCACAAGGCTTTCCCAAACTGTAGGCTGCCCAAGTCCTTCCATGTCCTTGGTGTTATCTGAAGAAGCTTATGGGGTTCATGTTTAGGCGCAGGGCCTTCGCGGCCCCCTCAGGACTCCAAAGAGATCTCCCAGAAGCGGCCGCGCCTTGGTGCCGCAAAGGTTCGGGATTCGAGGGGGTTTAGAGTTCAGGATTTATAGGGTTTAGGGTTTATAGGGTTTAGGGTTTATAGGGTTTAGGGTTTATAGGGTTTAGGGCCCTTGAGCTCACGAACCTTCATGGAGTGCCTGGAGTCCTGTCAGTGCAAGAAAAGGCCTCGTGGTTGCGGAAAGGATCGGGGGAAAGCGAGTTTCAAGGGTTTCGGGCTACTTTCTCTGGTTGGCCATCCGTTCACATGGCCGCTGCTGTGGCCCCTGCCTCACTGAAGCCTCGGCAAGGCAAGCACGGCAGGCACTGACAGCCAAGACCTCTCCAGCTGCAAACCCTTCTTCGAAGCCCGATCGCCCATCCTAAAAATCCCTTCCCTGGTTAGCACCCAGAAGCCTACGCCAACAGAACAGTTGCACAGGGAGGATGGATGGAGCATGATGGAACAGCACACGGCGGATGCCCCCGCGCTTGAGTATTGGGACACGGCCGTTTTCGAAGCCAATGCTGCTTACGAACTCCAGAGGGCGCATGTTCAGAGCCTGGCAAAATCTGGTGCTGCACGCGACACGCTGGTGCAGGCACACGAGCTCCTCAAAAAGCTGAAGAGGGAGCACTCAGAATTAGTGAAGGCTGCCAGAACATCTGCACCGCCCATCGCGCAAAGGGGAGTAGCTTCCTATCCGGCAAAGATGCACATTCCCCGGGATGTGGCGGACTCACGCTTTCTCGTTGATTTTTCGGTGCATGATGGTTGCGCAGCGCGCAGCTTCATGGCCCAGCATGGGTTCGTGATATTCCGCGACGTGGTTTCGGATGCAGATTGCGCCCGCGCGAGGGATGAGATTTGGAGCTATCTTGAAGACAACGTGGCGGGCTTCCAGTGCGCAGAGCCGACGACGTGGTGCGTTTTGTCACAGACAGAGACTGGTCGCTATTACGATGCGTATGGGTTGCCACCTGATCCTGTGATAATGTCGCCCCAGATGCTTGACAATCGCCAGAATCCTAATGTCATTCGAGCGTTTCAGAGCGTGCTGGGCGAAAACATCTTGGTCAGCCATGATCGTTGGTGCCTCTACCGTCCTACTGAAGCCGGTGGCATCCCGACCAAGAACAACCTCCACCTGGATCTACATCCATGGCGCTTCTTGCAAGGAGATACCCGGATAGAAGAGCTGCGATATGAGAATGGTCACGACCATGATTTCTCGCTGGAGATTCCCAGGGCCCGCGCATGTGATGGCCCGCATGTCCAAGGAGTCCTGAACCTCGTTGAGAATTTGGAGGAGGACGGAGGTACCCAGCTGGTTCCAGGCTTTCAAAACGCCTTTGAGAAGTGGCAGAAGGAACTCGGTGATGAGGCCGACTGGCTCTTCCGGAGTGGGCAGTCTACAAACTGGCTTCATCCCGGCAATGGCGGTGCCAGCTTCAAATTCCATGAGCAGGATCCCATTCATGAGCTGTCTCATCGGATACCACTGAAGCAAGGCAGCCTTCTCATTTGGGACCAGCGATGCGTTCATGGTTCCCGCCCCAATGCATCCTCGAGGGTCCGGATGGCACAGTTCATCCGGGCCTTCCGACGGGCACCCCTGAGCATGGAGCGTGCAAGGGCAAGAGCACAAGCGATCAAGAGCAACTCGGCTTTTGTTAGAACTTTTAAGCATAAGTTGCCGAAATGTAACGGCCCCCAATTATCAGCTAGATTGAGACTCATATTGCTTGCTTATAACCTTTGTAGCCCTAGTAGCATGGGTTCCCCTACTAAGTACACCCCTCTATTCTCCCCCCCCCGGTTTTTCCCCTTAAACAACCTTAATTAGGCTGGTTTATCCCTAAATCGCCTTAAGTATGGACAGGTAGTAGAGGAACCCATGATAGTATGGCAGCCCGAGGAAAGCTTGTGGCCGCCGGTCTCTTGGAGAGGGTGTCTGATGATGGCCAGGCCGTTTTTGGCTTCGCCGACCTCGATGACTGCAAAGCCGGGGGTGGCGCGGGGGGACAAAAAGTAACTTTGGCCCGGGATAGATAAGGGGGTTCGGAACAAGGAATGACAATGTTTCTTTCTGGTCCCTACATTCTTATGCTGTGGTCTGTGGTAATAACCCCCCCCGAAAGCCCTGTTCTAATTCTCAAGGTGCCACTATAATATTACCTCAAGAGCCCGTCTGCTCTTTGCAGAAGTCCTCCGACTCGCGGTTCACACACAAGATGGCCCCGTAGAGAGGGCCCCAGGCCATTTCAGCTTTGCTTGGCCGGCTCCGCCGTCGTGAAGGCGAGACCACAGTTGCCCACTGAAAGAAGCTGGAAGCATCACACCCGGCGCTCGATTTCAGGGTAGGGCTCGGGACTTGTTGAGTTTCTTTTTTGTTTGGCCAGGGGGGGGGGTGAGCTTTGAGAGTATTTAGGATTTTGAAAGCGAGTCGACCGATGAGTCATGTGACCAGTGATTCTAACTGTCAAGCCCAGAGATAGGTCTCCTGAAATTCGCTGCCTTGTGGTCATCGAATTGTGGACGGGATTAGACAGACGAACAGTGTCTGGCCTCAGGGTGGGGGCTTTTTGCCGCTGGTAGCTGAAAGGGCGACTGGGTTTTGGTTGAGGCTTGGCTCCTGGGCTTCTATGATGAATTCCGAAACACCTGCGAGTGCCATCTCCTAGAAACGCTCAACCTTGCGACAGGGTCTCCCGGACGCCTTACGCGTGGTCGATGCTGGTGACAATGGCCAGAGCCCAGGGAGACCAAATTGGACCACCAGAAATGATGCGCTTGGGAATCCTGAACCCGAAAAGCAGGAATGCAAACTCGCACCCTAAACAAGAGACGTCAGAGAAGGTTTCAATTTCAGAGTTCCCGGCCTGAAATTTCTTCTAGGGATTAACACATATATGTACACACCTAGGGCTTCAGGCTTTTGGGGGTTTACAGAGTGGCTTGCACATGGTTGGGGTGTTTCAGGCAGCTGCGGGCTTTGCATCCTGCACCCCAAAGTTCCCCCAAAGTTTACATCCTTGCATCAAAGTGCCATGGGTTCCTTAGAAGCCACCTTACAGAGCCCCTAGCTGGTGGTTAGAATCCACATCTGGCTCTCCCACGCGCCAGGGCTGACGATAGGGCGGGCGCACCAACGAGAGCTGCACGAAAAGGCGCAGCGTGCTCAGCTGGACCTTACAAACGCCCGAGAAGTTGCGGTCCGTTCGGATGACCGAAGTACCGGGCGCCACGAGATGCAATGACCGGAAAAGGCCCATAGAGGCCCCCCCCCCCCCCCGCCATAATAATCTATAGAGGGCCCTTCCCGAATCCTCACGCCCAAAAAAGGGGCTTTTGTTACGCTGGTGCTGATGCGGTATAGGCCCTCAGAAGCCAATTGAGGTTCGTGGAGGGCGTGCTGGGGCACTCCCCGGCTTGCTTTGGCTCCCTTTGTTTTGTTTTGTTTTTTTTTTTTTTTTTTTAAGGGCTTTAAGGGTTCAGGGCTTGGTTGTTACAGTGTACTGTAGTTGGGTAGAAACAGAGAGAGGGCGAGGGGGGCAAGGTCAGAGAGCATTCAGAGTCTCCTTTATTTGGGGGGGGGGGGGGGGGGGTGCGGGCTGATGGGCTTGAGGTCCGACGAGGTGAAAGCTCTCTATACGGCTTGTTTCAGCTAGTCAGCTAGGCGAACTCCCAGGGTCATTTCACGGCCTCTTTAGGAGGGAGGTGAGGCGGGCCCTTCAGCAGGCATACCTGCTTGCTGAATTGCCAGGTACATCAGCAGAGACCACTTCTCGATCAAGTGCGCCAGCTCATTCGGACGGCGCAGGGTTGGAGCAGCAAGATGTGATGGGCAACCAGCTGCGGACTCTATGCCACTGCGAGGGAGAGAGAGAGGGAGACGCCAAGTTCGATGACCGCAGTCCATTCCCACCGTCGGCGAACGTGACATGCAAGAGGTGCAGTCGCGACGGCGCCTTTTCGCTGGTTCCGCTGAGCACTGGCCTCAACCCGACCCAAAGCGACGCCGAACCCCAAATGCTGTAAAAGGCCCGGAAGTCTAACTAACTCTCTCAGAGGTTGCTGCAGCCATCGAGGTTCTTGAGTCATGGGGTTTCTTGGTGGTGGAGTGATTTTGGGCCCTTGGGCTGGGGGAAGTCGGGGCATGTAGGGTTCTAACCTGCCACCCTACAAGCCCTGCTGCCGAAAGGTCAAAACCCCATCTGGCTTTCCCGGCGAGGGAGGTGGGCCCATTCACGAACTTGGTTTCTTTGGCTTGAAGGCTCCTAAACTTTCTTGAGCCTTAAGCCCTGAAGCAAGAAAAACCCCTGAACCCTGAAAACCCAAACCTCAAAACAACGATGGTGGTATGCAGTGGTTGACGGGCTTCCGCGTGACTCTGCGCCTTGCGCAAAAGACGGACTCCGTGTGATAGGTTTAGAGTTTAGGGATTTCCATACAGATAGCTTCCATGAAGTCGCAGGTCATCCCTCCGTACTTCGTATCGTGTCTACTGGCAAGCAAGAACCCAGTACTATCATGGCTATGGTTACGGAGATGATGCGGATTGCGGCTCCTGCTTCCGGTTGCTATTCCCTTGTCATCATTCTTTCAGTTCTGGTTGGGTTCTCAGGCCCCCTCACTTGGTTCTTAGGAAGGCGCCACGAGTTAGGTCACCTTGTCTCCTCTGCCCTGAAACGTAGTGGACACCGGCCCCAAAGTCAAAACAGCAAAAAAAGTTCCCCAAACCTCCCAAGTGCCACCCACACCCGAAGCCCCGGGAACCTTAAGCCCCCTCCTCTTGGGTCAGGCTCCAGCGACTCATGCCGGGAACCCGTAGGGGAATGTCTTCGGACAACTCGGGGCTTGGTAGGTTTTAGGAACTAAGGGCAGGTTTTCAGGCTGTTGCTTTGGTTTCCCCACCCACCCTCAAACATAAGCACCCCTTAGCAGAGCAGACCCCCCCCCTCCCAACCCTCCTCCACGGCAGAATGCATGGCATGGATCACATCCGAAGACCCAAGTTGCCCAAGACGCTCGAGACAAATGGGGGCCAAGGTCCCAAACTCGATAGGTTCGGTACTTCGGGAATCGTACCTGAGACCCTGTTTACCTACAGTTTTACGGGGTATATCTACTAAATAGGGGGGTCCCAGGCAATCCTATAGATATACGGTCGCTTACAAGAGTTTCCTCAGCCGAAGACCTTGAAGCCACCGCAAGGGTGGGTGACGCGCCTCCCCGTCTGGAAGACGGCGACACGGTGCTGCTCTTCACAGGACACGCGAGTTCCGGACAGAGGGTTCAGGCTTATAATGCATGTAGGGTTTAGGTGAGTTTGAGTGTTGGTGTGGGGAGGTTTGGCGAGGGAGAGGAGTTTAGGGTACGTGGTGCCCGTGTCCATGCTGCAAGAAGCAACTCCCCAGCTAAGCCTATCCTAGAACACCCTACGAGTCGAAGTCGCAGCAGAGCCTCGGCGCTTTGGCGTGCGGGTGCCCGGGCAGGAGCAGAAGACCTATCGCCGGAAGGTGGGGGGGGCATGGGGAAGGGGGGAAAGGGGGGGAAGTCGGATTAGTTTTGGGATCTTTTTTGGTCTACGCAAAGAGTTAGGAGGTGCCACGACGATTTCATGTGTCAAAGTATTTGATTCAGTAGTTCGCTTGTAGTTTGGCAGTTCCCTTCTGAGATCTTGTGCGGCCAGGTCCGGGCAGCTTCGGTTCATTGCGGTGGGCCTTGGGCCCAGGCATGGGACAAAGTTGAGCCTCGGACGTTCAGATCTGCTCCAATGAAAGCAAGCTGCAGCTACATATTGGGCAAGCGTGTTAGATTTCGCCCGCGATGGTCCGTTGGCAAGAATCTTTTCCGCTTGTTGTACAAATTTACATGGCAGGGTGGGTTTGGGTGAGCAAATTTTTTTGGTCGGGCTCAATCTGACGAGTCCCGGCGTTTAGGGGAGCGAAACATGTCTCAGCGCATAGCGAGTCTTTCCATTTCATAAGAAAATTTTGCTTCGTTGCTGCCTGGGATTGACCTCTTCATTTCGCGAGTGTTTGAGGGTCCGAGTTTGCGTGTTTGGCTTAGGATCCGAGTTTTCATGTTGTTGGGGGCTCTTCTAACTTCTGGTCTCTTCCCCAGATCTAAGGCTCCGTATTGCAACAGGAAGCCGAAAAGAGGATCATCATTTTTTGAACTGGCCCTGTATTGCGGGTCTCTGCCCTCTGCCGCAGTGTCTGGGTAGCCAGCCAAGAACACAGCAACCTGTCAAGGGTAGAATCAAAGGTACAATCTCACAGGAGTCTGGCGGTGGTCTTGCGCAGTGCTGTCAAGCAGAAGGTTCATACCCCACTGACATGAATGCACACACATATGTATGCACATACATGTATGTATATACACATGCATCTTATTGATTGATTAAAGTGCGTTTCCATTCGCATGTAGGAATTTGTATTTATTCATATATGTCTGTATACGTATTTTACTTGTCTGTGTACGTCTCTGCATACTCTCTGAAAGTACATCAGTGTATACACATATGCGAAGAATTATTTCGTTTTCTACCTACCTCTCTCTTTTTGCGTATCCACATACACGTTGTGTTTTGTGAGGGCCGCAGCACTGCCCCAGCACTCCTGAATCCAGCTCCTCTCTCAGCCTGACCCGTCTGCGCCAAAGGTGTTCCGGCTCAGCCGTCCCTGATGATGCGCCCTGCCCCCAGTGGCTGCTCTGCGCAGCAAATCCTTCCCTAAACCCCCAAAGCCCTTCCCTGAACCCTCAAACCCCTCGACTCCAGCCTCCCTAAACCCTTGGATTCCCTCCACCTTAAGCCCTATGACTAACCCTTGACTTAAACCCGAGAGCCTTGCCCACCATCACTCCAAGAGAGGGTTTTAGGTGTCGCATCTGATGTAGGGGATTTGGAAAGTGGCTTGGGCTCATGACGAACTACCACCCCCCCCCCCCTCCCAAAGTCCTGAGTTTCGGCAGGGAGTTGAGCTTGCTATGCTTATCCTCACCCTCTCCATGTTCAAGGAGGATCGGAGCGAAGCCCCCCCTCCCCC